AAAAAAAAAAAAAATTTTTAAAAAAAAAAAAAAAAAAAAAAAAAAAAAAAAAAAAAAAAAAAAAAAAAAAAAAAAAAGAATCTTTCTGGGTATTTTTTTTTTTTTATAGGTATAAAAACAAATTCTAGAATGTCGTATATATTAACTTTAATTTACACAAGTTTCTCATTATTCATTTTTTCATGTGGGCAGCATATATGGTTTGAGATAATTGGCCTTGTTTTCAATTGCTTGTATAGTTTGTTTTTGAAGATCAGATAATTCATTACCAAAAATAAAACATTCTAAGATTCCATGCAGAGACTTAGTTTCGGGGCGATTTTCTGGATCCACATCCCAACAACGCCTATAAAGCGCGATATAATCTTTTGGCGTGCCATCTACAGGTGTCTCTCTCCTTCCTGTATATATGTGAATAGCAACTTGTTCTTGAGATTTGAGTGATCGAAATGGTGGATAACCACTTGTAATTTCCCATAGAATGAAACCTAGACTAAATATGTCGGATTTCTTATTACGTTTATATGTCTCATTTAAATAACATTGTGGATCGATGTATGCAGCTTGCCCTTGAACCATTGATCTTGAGCTCGAAGCCTTATCTAACCGTTTAGACAGACCGAAGTCAGATATCATCATTTTTCCCTCATGAACTAAAATATTTTTGGAATGCTAAAACAACATTATATACCGTAAGTGTAAATGACAAAATCATCATAACAATCAAATTATCATTAAACATAAATAATAATATATTCTTACAAGGTCAAGATGAATTATATTATTGGTATGTAAAAACAGAAGACCTAAAGTTATTTCCTCAGCAATGCGTAGTTTATCAGTCCATTCGAGTTTTGAAAAGTCTTTTTTCAAGTAACTTTGTAAATCACCACCTGCGGCATATTGTAAAATTACTTTATAATTTTCTGTTGGATCTATTCGTTATACAATATTTAAGTATATTATCGATTATTAAGTTATTGTATACCATGTAAATAACATACTTACGTTTGGTTACACCATAAAATTGAATAATATTCGGGTGAAAGCCAATTTTTTGCAAAATCCGAAGCTGTACGTATAATTAATTTAGTTCTTGTTTGTTAAATAACATTGTATCTTAAATTCTTTAAATAATACAACCTCCTTAATAAAATCCTGATTAGTCTTATAATCTTGATCTATAGCATTATTTAGACTTTTAAGAGCAACAGTTAATTTACATTCTTCCCACAAACATTTTTGCACAATTCCAAATCCTCCTCTGCCAATTTCTGACAAGTTAGTAAATTTATCATGAGCAAAATGATTTATATACTCTTCAGAAATAGCTTTTTCAAGCCATCCTTCTAAGGAATTTGTATTCAAGGACTTATTAGCGTTCAAAGAAACAGCTTTTTCATATGACTCTTCCAAGGGAACTTCCATAATTTTTATTAAATTGTATTTTTGTGTTTGTTTTAAACGGATTCTGATTTCAGCAAATTTATCATAATCAAATCGGTTAATACTCTCTTTAGAAATAACTTCTTCAAGCCATTCTTCTAAATAAATAGCATTCAAAGGAATAGTTTTTTTAAACGATTCGTCCGAAGAGACTTCCATATCGCATAATTTTCATTAAATTGTATCTGCGAGCTTACTTTAAACTGCTTTTGTAGCACGTTACAATTACTAAAAAAATAGTAAGTAGGTAAAGACTTATCAACCTTTTTTAATACTTATTCTAAACCTTCCTACATACACATTGAAATTAGAAAATTACTGTATAAACTAATTGATTATCATTATCGATATTACAGTATTATATACGTATATGGTATGTAGTATAGTAATAGTAACGGCGCTCAATACAGCAATACATGAATTTAAGTAAATTTTTGTAGCACACAAGTACTACGTATAGTACAGTCACTGGGAGCTATCTTCGTGAATTATAATTTTGCACCGGACTTAACTTTAAGGAATGATAGATATAATTTGATATTTAATATTTAATTTTGAGTTGATAACTTTACTAATATCCTTAAATTTTATAGGGAGACCAAAAAATTAGATTTTCGAGAAGTCTGGTCGTCGATAAGTATCTTATCTTTGTTACATTTATTCAATAGGAGAGATCGAATTAAAATAGAAATTCGTTGTAGATGTCACTAGTCGAACACTGGCTTTATTTAAGGTAAAAAACTTTGCTTTTATGGGTTCATTACATGTCATAACTTTAAACATCAAGCAAAACGACTCTAAATTATTAATGTATATGTTTTATATATGAATGTTCACGTCTAAGTATGTCCAAAACTTATAATAATTTTATTATTTATCAAGAGAAGATATCTCGAAATCTTTATATAAGAAATTGGGGTTAAAAATTACGAGGAATACCGGTATAAAAAAAACATAGCGATAGTTATATGTTGCCTAGTAAAAACTCTATTTTGATAATAATGATAGTTCCTATTTCGACCTCTTTTTGCTACCAAACATAAACACTGTATATAACAAAAAAGTGGCGTTGAACTTTATTTGACCCAATCAGATCAGATGTTAATTTTGTAATCCTAACCTAAAAAAAAATTAATTTTAATTATGAAACTACGTGTTAAATTACCTATTTATGCAGATTATTATATTTGGTAATACAATCACTAATACGTAAAACCTTACATATTCTCCCACCACTTTACTCGGAGAAAAAAATTGATTAATAGAATAAATACTCCGCTAAGTGAATAATTAGAACAGCCAATTAGAAGTGGTGAGGTAAATACTGTAAGAACATTGCTCAATATAAGAGTAGTGGAATAAAACATTGGAATTTAAAGCTTATATTCATCGAACAACTAATGAGGACACAGCTAGAAAGGTTAATAAATAACAGGCTTGATATCTTTCTTGATAATTCCGTATTAAAGAATATAGAAGAAATTGGAAAAGGTGTAAATTTTAATTATTTTAAATTCTATATAATACGGTATGATTAACTGGTATTTAAAATGTATAAGATGAATTTAGTGTTTTTTATTCGGCAACTATTATTTGGAACAAAGTTATATTGAAAAGTTTTAACAATGATGATGCTTCTAGAGAAACGGTCAATGAATTTATTAAAGAGGTAATTCGTTTCATTATTTTCTGTTTTCTTAAATACAAAATCTAATAAGATATTTAATATTATTTATAGCTTAAAAAACTGCATAAAGAAAATTTTCATACTAACGTCAATCAATTCCATGGAATTACACGCGGTATTATAATGATATATATATATTGTATAGTTAAATAAGTATTCTTTAAATAATATTTTCTAGTCGTTATTTAATGTTAGATCCTAAAACAAATAAATTAATGTTGGTGCTACAATTTGCTAACAATGGTAACTTACGAGAATATTTAAAAAAAAAATGGTGCGATAATACCTTTAAAATCTCATTAGAAGAAGTTATCAAAATTGCAAGACAAATTACCGATGGGTTGAAATGCTTACATGAAAATGATATAATTCATTGTGATTTAGTAAGCTTAATTTATGAATTATTTTAATTCCTAATATTCAGTTTATTTTCTTAAATCAAAATTAATTTTAAAGAATCCTAATAATATCTTAATGAATGATGAAACACCTTTAATCTCCGATTTTGGACTATCAAGAAAAATAGCTGATTGCTATAACTCTTCAGCTTCGATTATAAAAGGCGTTCCTGAATACACTGATCCACAATATCATTTACAACCAGGGAAAAAACTCGATAAAAAATCAGACATTTATAGTTTAGGAGTAATATTTTGGGAGCTTACAAGTGGAATTCCTCCATTCGACAATGTTAATAATGTATTTTCAATAATTCTAAAAATATTGGAAGGTTACCGAGAACAATCAATTATCAGTACGCCATCAGATTATGTTAAACTTTATAAGAGATGTTGGAATATTGAACCGAATGAACGCCCAACGACAATTGAAATTCTTGAGAATCTAGATTTAATATCAAAAGAAGAAGCAGATAAATTTATTATAAATCAAGATTTGAAACTTATACCCATTTTAGATTTAACGACGAATAAGCAGTCTGAAATATATAAAAATATGCATAATGATGATTTAACTAAAACTTTATTAAGTGCGGCGGCATCTATACCTAAATCATTAAAAATGCATTCATTTCATCATAAACTAAATAATGCGGAAGAATTAAAGTTTCAAGGACAAATTTATTATATATCGGAAAACTATAAAGAATCTCTTGAATACATAAATAAGTCATTAAATATTAATTCAGATGGTGCAGATGCATTGATCTTTCGAGGAGAAATACATTTCAAATCAAAAAAATACCAAGAATCACTTGCGGATTTAAACAAATCTTTAAGACTTAAACCAGATAATGCAGTAGCACTAAGATCTCGAGGAAAAATATATTATATGTTGAATCGTTATGATGAATCTCTCGAGGACTTAAACCAATCGTTGGAACTTGATTCAGATAATGCAACTGCACTAAGATCTCGAGGACAAACATATTACAAGTTAAATTGTTATGAAGAATCTCTCGAAGATTTAAATAAATCTTTAGAATTTGATTCAGAAAATGCAATTACATTAAGATCTCGAGGACAAACATATTCCATGCTAAATCGTTGCGAAGAATCGCTTACGGATTTGACCAAGTCTTTGGAAATTGATCCAAATGACACAATTGCTTTGATATCTCGGGGACAAACGTATTATAAGCTAAATCGCTACGAACAATCTCTTACAGATTTAAATAAAGCATTAGGTTTAGATCCTAGAAATGCGGTCACACTAAAATTTATAGGAAAAACTTATTTTAATATGAAAAAATATGAAGAATCAATTGATTACTTAACCAAATCATTACATATTGACTCGAAAAATGTCGATACTTTAAGAACCCGTGGAGAAGCTTATTATATGGCAGGAAAATATAAAGAATCTATCGAGGATTCAAACAAATTATCGAAGATCAATCAAAAGAATGTAGCTGCGTTAGGAATTCGGGGAAAATCTTGCTTTAAGTTGAAAAAATATAAAGAAGCACTTAAAATTTTAACTAAGGCATTAGAAATCGACCCAAAAGATATTGATTCATTAACATATCGAGGACAAACACACTATATGATGAAATCTTACGAAAACTCTCTTAAAGATTTAAACAAATCGTTAGAACTAGATCCAAATAATATAGAATCGCTAAGTTTCCGAGGAAACTTATATCATGATTTAGGAAAATATAACGAATCTCTTGAAGACATATCAAAATTATTGGAAATAGAGCCAGATAACGTATTTGCATTAAAAATTCGGGGACAGACACATTATCTACTAAAACATTACGAAGAATCACTTGCAGACTTAAGTAAATTTCTAGATTTAGAGCCAGATAATGCAGTTTCACTAAGATATCGAGGACAAACATATTATAAACTAAACCGCTACGAAGAATCTCTTGTAGACTTAAATAAATCATTGGAAATTGATCCAGTTAATACAACCACATTAGAATATCGTGCAAAAGCTTATTTTAAATTAAAAAGATATAAAGAGTCCCTCAAAGATTCGGCTAATATATTGAAAATCGATCAAAGGAATATAATTGCACTAAAAAATCAGGGACAATCTTACTTCGAATTAAAAAATTATAATGATTCTCTTAAAAGTTTAACAAAATTATTAAACATCGATCCAAATAATGTTGATGCACTAATAACTCGAGGACAAGTATCTTGCGCTTTAAAGCATTACAACGACTCTCTTAAAGATTTAAACAAGGTATTAGAGACTGATCCAAATAATGCAAATGCCTTAAGAGCTAGAGGGCAGACACATTGCTATATAGGAAAATATGATGATTCTCTTTTAGATTTAACAGAATCATTAAAAATAAAACTGGATGCATATACGTTAAGATGCCGGGGAGAAACATATTATGTTCTAAAAAAGTATGACGAATCACTTAAAGATTTAAATGAATCACTAGAATTAGAACCAGACAACGCAATTGCTTTAAGATTTCGGGGACAAGCTTATTATAGGCTAAACCGTTACGACGATTATTATGCTGATTTTACTAAATTATCACAAATCGATCCGGAAAATGCGAATATTCTAAAATCTATTGAACAAGCACAATGGCTTGACAATGCTATTTCAGGAAGATACATAAAATACTTTGAATTTGATGAATTTGATAGATTTGAAAAAATTGATGAAGGCGGGTTTGGAACAGTATTCAGAGCTGAATGGAAAAATCATGGACTACTGGTCGTTCTTAAAAGTTTAAAGGTTAATCACATGGTTCGAGAATTTGTCAAAGAGGTATTACTTATTGCAATTGAATTAAAATATAGTTGACAGACAAAACTTAGATGACAAATGTTAAAATTCACATCATGGTTTCGTCTATTAACTATATATAGTTCAGAACAATTTAAATAAATTATACGTAGATTATTTATACTATATATTTGTACAGCTTCAACTTCTACTAAGAGTAAGTTTTCATCCTAACATAAATCATTTCTATGGTGTAACTAAAGGTATGTAATTATAAAATTATGTCAACGTGGCTAACGTATTTTACCCGGCATTGATGTATAATTTATGTTAATATACTGTAAATACTTAGATCTAGAAGGATATTATTATTTGGTTTTACAATATGCTAATAATGGGAATTTACGTGAATATTTGAGATTGAACTTTCTAAAGTTACAATGGTCGGATAAATTACATATTGCCAAAGAAATAGCGCAGGGCCTAATGTTCTTACATAATAATGATGTTATTCATCGAGATCTTGTAAGTATTCATTATTTATAGCTTTTGTGGCATAATCTCATTATAGAAAAATTACTAAGTTCTACATTTTATAGCATTCTAAAAATATCTTAGTTCACGATGGGAAAATGATGATTGCAGATTTTGGTCTATCAAAACGAGCAGTTGATGAGCAAGATACTCCTCATATTCACGGAATGCCTGCGTATATAGAACCACAATGCTTTAAAGATCCTTCGTATATAATTGATAAGAAATCAGATATTTACAGCTTTGGAATAATTCTCTGGGAAATTTCAAGCGGTAGACCTCCATTTCAATCATTTGAAATTGAAGATTCAATTGTTATTCATATATATAGAGGAAATAGAGAAACACCCGTGGATGGTACACCATCAGAATATGTTCAACTCTACAAGAAATGTTGGGACGAAGATCCTAATGAGCGCCCAGATATAAAAACTGTCATTGAAAATCTAGATCAACTTATTCCAAAACCAATAACCCCTGTTAAAATTGAAGTAAACCTATCAAATGAATGGCTCGAAGATGCTATTTTAAACAAAAAAATTAATTATTACGATTACAAAGAATTCAGCGATTTTAAAAAGATTGATGGAAAGTTTGGTTCTATATATAAAGTTGAATGGGAAAATTCGGGATTAAAGGTTGTTCTTAAATATATTAAAATCGATAAGAACTTTAATGAAGATGTTACTAAAGAGTTTATCAAAGAGGTAAAATTATCTTCATCCTTTTATCATCTATTATCCCGAATAATGACGTTGATAAATCAAAATTTTGTCCTTCGTGTTTAAATTAAAAAAAAAAATCTTACAAATTTTGTATATATTATCTTTCATTATTCCTAAATCTAACTTTAATCTTATACTAATGTTGAACACCAGGTGTGATTTGTTATTTATTTTGAACAATATCAAAGAAAACATTTACGAATAACTTCTATCCGTATAAAGAAACTATAATATTAACTATCTATATATTCATACCTTATTCAAAGCTTCAGCTCTTGCAAAAACTTACATTTCATCCACATATTATAAAATTTTATGGAATTACTATAGGTATATTTCTATTTATTAACTATTATAATCCTAAATAAAGAATGTTCAAATGAATTTTTTAATATATAATTCATTAATAAATAGATCCTGATCGATGTTATATTATGGTTTTTCAATTTGCTGAAGACGGAAATTTGCGAGAATATTTAGAAAAAAATTTCAAAGAGTTACAATGGATAAATAAACTAAACATTGCTAAGGAAATAGCGATGGGACTTGAATTTTTGCATAAAAATCATATTGCACATCGGAATCTTGTAAGAAAATTCATTATTATGTAATTATTTTGATTACATCTTTCATGTTAAATATTGAATCGAATTTCCATTTGATAGCATCCAAGAAACATTTTAGTCCACGAAAAAAAAATGATGATCGATTTTGGCTATTCCAAACTTATAAATGAGGCATTAAAAGCTTCAAATTCAATGGTTCAAGAAATGCCGGAATACAATGAACCGCAATGTTTCGACAATGCTTCATATGAGCGTGATGAAAGATCCGATATTTACAGTTTTGGAGTTATTCTTTGGGAAATTTCAAGTGGAAGTCGTCCATTCAAATTAATGTCAAAATTTTTAATTGCTATTTACATATTCCAAGGTAATAGAGAAATACCTGTAGAAGGCACGATACCAGAATATGTAGAACTCTACGTAAAATGTTGGAATGGTGATCCTACTGAACGTCCAGATATAAAATCTGTCATCAATATTTTAGATGAGCTTATCGACAAGGAGGTAATTCTATTAATTATGTCTATTTTATTGATTATTATTAATTATGTCCTAATCAAATGGAATCTCAAAATACAAATTAAGATGAAATCTCAAAGTACAAAATGATAAATCTTCGTGTTTCGAATGTAGATAAAATCATTTACCAGTTTGTAAATAAAAATTAGAATTTTCTCTCATCTGAATAGATATGATGTTCTGAATTAAAATTTTAAATTGTCAAAATAACAGTTGCTATAATTAAGGACGAATACTATTCAGTTCAAACCGTTGAAACTATAGAACGACATTGTGATTCAAAAGGAAATTAATAATAATAATCATTCATGATATTGATTAGGGATTGAAGTCAGTTTAATTGACTAAAAATTATTTTGATTAATTACAATGTTTTAGTTTAGTAGTCAACTAAACCGATTCCAATCCTTAAATCTTGGTATAATGATTGAGGATATAACAATAATTATTGTCGTCGCTGAATGCTGAGATTAGTTGATTAAAACGATTATCTTTTTTAGTTTAATATTATAATTAGGTAAAAGTAGATTATATATAAAAATTAAAGGCCCAAATATTAGCATCAGCCGTGAGACTATTAGAATTTTTCTTTTTGAACTACAGCGTCATTCTTATTGAAAGCGTGTTACACATAATTCAATTCAAACCTTCGCGCAAAATCGATAGGACAACACTCTTATAATTCGAAAAACTAGGCTAAAATTATGTATAGCCGTTGAGGATTTTCAAAATCAGTTCAGCACTCCGTTCGTTATTATAAGTTAAGGTTATTTATAAGTTAAATAATTTGAAGAAGCAATAGATTTTATTTGAGATATATGTGAATAGATTGCGCAACAACGGGACTAAATGCCTATAAGGAAATAATGTAAAGTAGTTTTTGGGGGTGAGTCAATAGAAATCAAGCAAATTGTTTTTATTGAAACTTTAAACAACAATAATTCATCTAAATTTGTAATATTAATTTTGATAAAGTTTTTAAGTTAAAGTTTCAAAAAAATTTATTTAGAAAAAATTTGCTTGATTTCTATTGACTCAACTCTATTTATTGCTCACCTTATCATAATTTATTTTTCTGTTCTTTCAGTTATTTCCATTTTTATTTCATCTTTTTATTTATTTGTTTTTATCTTTATAAATTGTTATTTTCATATTATTTATGTATTTAAGTATATTATATCTCTTTTATAAAGTGTCTTTTTTTTTTGTAACAAGCAAGGCCTTGACCATTATTAATAATAGATTAAATTTGTGTTCTGTGATTTGGGAGCTTTCTATTTAGCTTGTATGCAGTAAAATCAAATTTTATGAACTCCAAAAATATGTAGTCATCTTATGAAATATTTTATACTTTACGTTACTAGCTTAGAATAGAATTTTCCTTATCAGCTAATTTTTTATGCCAAATAAATACTAGATCTTTTTAATCCCAATTCATTAACAATAACAATTAGTAAAAATACTATAGCACCTCTGTTCATAAACTCTAAGATGATGCGTACCTTCAGTTCAAAAATTTTTCTCACCTTCCTGCCGCTCTTCTTTTTCAGGTTGTCCTATGAGTCCAGGGTTCTCTCATAGTGCTTGCTTATCAGCTTCAGCTCAAATTCCTAAGTTATAGCAAACTAACTTTATACATTCCTTAGTAACTTCCTTATCTGCTAATTTTGCACACCAAGTAAAACTTGGTTTTAAAATTCAAAAACTCAAAATTGGTTCTATATATTTTAATTTAGTGATTTTAATAACTTAAATAAAGGTTAAATACTATCAATTTGACATCTTGTAAATTTATTGCTGGTGAAATATCGTGTCGATTAAATAGCAATTATTTTGTTAAAGAATTTACTATTGAGAAAATGTATTGTTATAGAAATGTAACTATCTGGTCGAGAATTTACTGTTAAGGAAAATAGTATATTTAGAAATTAATATACAGTCTGAAAAATGCTATTCTTAGTGATATGTATATATTGTTATTAGGAAATGGAAGTGAATCAATAGAAATCAAGCAAATTGTTTTTATTGAAATTTTTTAAAACTTTAAACAACAATAACTTAACAATAACTTAATTAAATTTAATACAAATTATTTAAAAGAATTACAAACTTTAACATTTATTTTAAATAAAAAATGATTAAAATTGATAAAGTTTTTGTTGAAATATTTTTGTTAAAATTTCAAAAAAATTTACTTAGAAAAAATTTGCATGACTCAACCTCAAATATTAATAAGAAAATAAGTGTCAAAAGTCTTTTTAGAACACCTTCTTACACCAAAGCATAATAAGAGTATTTTATTTAGAAAATGTTTCAGAAGTAGAAATTTATGGAGTTAAATTTTATTAGGTAATAAATTTACACAAGCATCTGATACTTTGGCTTTGTTATATTCTATTTAATAACAACATTTAGCTTATGATTCTTTTAATTGAACCAATAAGTTGTATTATTATTTTCTTTAATATAATATACATTAAAAATAAACTATAAAAATCTGGGATTTAATTATTTACATAACAAAGCTTCTATTGTTATTTGATTAATTTTGCACAATAGCATGTACATTTGGTGAAACAGTAAGACGATCGGCGGTCTTGTATTCAATTTCTCGTATAGTTTGCTTTTGAAGGTCGGATAATTCTTTATTATAAATAAAACATTCTAATATTCCATGAAGAGACCTAGTTTCAGGGCGATTTTTGGGATTTGCATTCCAGCAACGCTTATAAAGTGCGACATATTCTTCTGGTGTGTTTTCCACAGGAGTCTCTCTCTTTCCTTCATATGCGTGAATGATAACTTGTTCATAAGATTTGAGTGATTGAAGTGGTGGATGGCCACTCGTAATTTCCCATAGAATGAAGCCTAAACTATAGATGTCAGATTTCTTATTACGTTTATATGTATCATCTAAATAGCATTGTGGATCAATGTATGCAGGTTGTCCTTGAACCTTGGATTTTGAGTTCGAAGTCTTATCAAACCATTTAGCCAAGCCGAAATCGGAGATCATCATTCTTCCCTCATGAACTAAAATATTTTTAGAATGCTAAACAATAAGTGTAAATAATAAATATATAAAAAATCATAAAAATTATCTAATAATTACTAAATAATATTAACATGATTTCTTACAAGGTCAAGATGAATTATATTATTAGTATGTAAAAACAAAAGACCTAATGCTATTTCCTCAGCAATACGTAACTTATCAATCCATTGTAGGTTGGAAAATTTTGTTTCCAAGTAATTTTGTAAATCACCACCTGCGGCATATTGTAAAATTACTTTATATTTTTCAGTCGGAGCTATTTGTTATAAAAATATTTATGTTTAATTATTAGTGATGCTTTAATATACAAAGAATAATATACTTGCCTTTAGTTACTCCATAAAATTGAATGATATTCGGGTGAAAGCCAATTTTTTGTAACATACGAAGCTATACGTATAAAGAATATAGTTATCTGTTATTGTTTGTTAAATGACATTGTATCTTAAATTATTCAAAAATACAATACCTCCTTAACAAAATCCTGCTTATCTTCTTTTTCTATATTATTATGTGGACTTTTAAGAGCAACAGTTAATTTACATTCCTCCCACAAGCATTTATGCACAATTCCAAATCCTCCACTACCAATTTTTATCAAATTAGTAAATTTATCATAATCAAAACTGTTAATATATTCATCAGAAATAGCTTTTTCAAGCCATTTTTCTAAAGAATCAACGCCTGAATTATTAGCGTTTTCAACCGTCTTTTCCAAAGGGACTGCCATAATTTAATTAATTGCATCTGTGATTTTTTTTTTAAATGGATTATAATTGCTTTTGTAGCACGTTACAAATATTATAAATGGTATATAACAACGCTTTACTGTATATATAACATGTACTAAGATAAAACTGATTAATTAGTTATAGTTTTGTTAAAGTTTTGATACGAATTGAAAAGATTGCTTTACAGATATATTTGTGGTCGTTTTTCAAACCCCAATTGGCAGTGTTGTCTACTGTACCACTGGAAGTCCAAATATTTCCAGTGAGAAACTCACACTGGAACATATATTTTCGTCACGAATGGTAACTAATATTAGCCAATAAAAATGTTCATAATTGCACATATTATTTAGAAAGTATTACGATTTTCATATTATATCCTTTTGGATATTAGTAGCAATACGATCACATGATAAATAAAAATTAATCACATATTAACGTTAAGAGTTCTTAAATAAATTTTACAGATATTGATTTTTTTTGTTGAGAACATTTGTAATTAATAAATATGACAGTAATTGAAAGTTATTTATAGAAAATTCCATCACCAAATAAAATTCCGTTACCACACAAGTCATATTAAGATCCAAGATCAACTTAAGTTGATTCTGAATATATGATGAGGGGTATTGTCTTGGTATTTCAAGGGACTTTCTATTACTTACTATGATGTTGCCTCACCTCTTTTTTAAACAAAGATTTATTTATTTATATAATTTGTACAATGTTTTATAACTGTATGGGAGAGCAATACATTTATACGCTCAGTTTATCTTTGGTGATAACAGGTGAATTTGGATCATATTTGCCATACCTGATCGTACTGGTCCTAGCGCGTTACCCGCGTTACCACGTGCCGCGTAGCTATCCTTATTTATTGTCCCAGGCCAGGAATAATTAAAATAGTTGTAAACATTTTACTCAATCAGTTAACCGAAATTTTCTCGATTCATTTACCTAATTATAGTTCAAATCACTACTTTCGACTTTAGTAGGCATGGATAGATAATTATTCGGACTTCGATTCGGTACTTTTCTCTCTGACCCTATAAGAAATTCGCATTAGATGTTGTCTTAATATCTACATTTCGAATATTCCCGCCGATATTTTCCAGACATTCCTGTAAAACTAATTTCTATTCTAATAGTAATAGCGATAGCGATAGATATCGATATACTATATCTATTACTATTAGAGTAGATATACGTATTCAGGAGTGTCACAAAATTTAAAGTTGGTTAATCTATTGTCATGTATAGAGATCTGTGTATTGCAATCATGTAACACCATTAATTTTGATCTTAGAGTTCGATTAAACTTTATCAAAACTTGTTTGGCTGGCATTATTTTGGGTTCGATAAATGATAATAGGAATATACATATGGAGATTAACACAAAGAAAATCTTGAAAATTTTAATAAATATTTGAGCACAAAATTTACTGATTGGGTATAGATGAATGCGGAGTTCGGAGGCATTAAATAAATAAGTTCACAAATCCATAGTTTCGTTTTTTAATAATAATGAGCGAAAAACCTTCAATTACATGGCTTGAAAAAGCTATTCGCGATGGTAACATTAATTTGTTTAGCTATGATGAATTCAGTGATAATGAAAAAATTTGCGATGGTGGTTTTAGTTTTGTAACTAAATCAGAGTGGAAGAATGGTGGATTGACTGTCGCTCTTAAATGTCTAAAAGTTAGTACAGTTAATAAGGAAGAATATACTAAAGCATTTGTGAAGGAGGTATGAATAATAATAATTATTGTGGCAGCTGATGCTGAGATTGGCTGAATAGCTGAGATTTTGAAATTTTTTAATATTAAATTTTAAAATTTTTTGGGGCCTTTTCTGTTAGCTTTTTTTTTAGAGTTAGGTTAAGGTTTAGGGTTAGTTTTATTAATAAAAGTGTATAAGTAAATTTTAGTAGGTATTATAGATTTAAATAGAGACCCCAAATCTCAACTTCAGCCAATCTCAGCATCAGCTGCCACAATTATTTAAGAAATTTCTTTAATTTGAATAAAATAAAACCTTTATTATATTAATTTTAAAACATTATATGTATTAAAGCTTCAAGTCTTGCAAAGAGTAAGCTTTCATCCCAAAATAAGCCATTTTTACGGCGTAACCCTAGGTTTTTATTTATATTACATTAAATGAGCTGATTAAAGTATGATTTAAATATTTACATTATAAATGATCACTACAAATAGATCCTAATGATGGAAATTACAAGATGGTTCTACAATTTGCAAATAATGGAAACTTGCGTGAATATTTAACCAAAAATTTTTTAGATTTGCAATGGGAAAATAAATTTCGTATTGCAGAGGAAATAGCACAAGGTCTTTTATTCTTACATAACAATAGCATACTTCATAGAGATCTTGTGAGTATGTCTTATAATATGCATTCAAAAATTATTAAAATATTTATACCAATTTGTTATATATTTTATAGCACCCAAAAAATATCCTAGTTCACGACAATAAGATGATGATTGCTGATTTCGGTCTATCTAAAGAAATAACCACTGATGTGTCAGATTTTAATTCTAATGTTGATGGAATGCCTGCATTTATTGACCCTCAGTGCTTTAAAGTTACCACATATAAACGTTCTGCTAAATCTGATATATATAGTTATGGTGTTATCCTTTGGGAAATTTCAAGTGGTCACAAGCCATTTCCATTACTTAAGAGAGTGCAGATTGCTATTCAAATATATAATGGAATGAGAGAAAAACCTGTTAAAGGTACACCACCAGAATATTTTAAACTTTATTCGAAATGTTGGGATGATGATCCCGAAAAACGTCCGGAAATACAAGATGTTTTTGACTCTTTAAATCAGCTTAAATATAGACCGGATCTTCAAATGGACATGGAAAAACCCTTAAAAAGATTACTTGAAAAAGCTTTTGCTGAGCAAACTATTAATTACCATGAATATGATATGTTTAGTGATCGTTTAATGCTTGAAGATGGAGCGGTTGGTCCCATTTTTAAATCCGAATGGAAAGAAGCGAACTTAATTGTTACTCTTAAATGTCTTAAAATAACTGATAATCAATATTTAGACGAATCAATTGCTAAAGATATTGTTGAAAAGGTATAATTACTTTTCAATAACTTTATATTCATGTTTAAATATTAATTATACATAAAATATTATTTTAAAGATTTGCAATTTGCAAAATGCTGATTTCCATCCAAATATCATTAAATTCTACGGGTTAACCAAAGGTATTTTAAAAGTTATAGCTGACAATGTGGTTCTTGCTTGTATTAATTTTACCTGTACATTTTAATTAATAGACCCTTTTAGTGAATATTACAATACGGTTTTTCAATTTGCGGATGGAGGAACTTTACATGATTACTTAGCAGCGAACATTCATGAGCTGCAATGGAATAAAAAAATAGGTATTGCTATAGAAATTGCGGAGGGACTCAAACATCTTCATGAGAATGGAATTACTCATCGTAACCTGGTAATAATTGCTATTATGAATCATATTTTTACCCTATTGTTGTTAATAATTAACTAAGAATCAATTTTACCATAATTATAGCATTCTAAGAACATACTAATTCATGAAGGAAAAGTGTTAATTGGAGGTTTTGATTTATACGAACAATTTAATGAATCATCCCTTGCAATATCAATTCGTCGTGGAATGCCAGCATATATCGAACCTCAGTGTCTTATGAATCCCACATATCAACGCGATAAGAAATCTGATATATATAGTTTTGGTGTAATTCTTTGGGTGATCTCCAGTGGCCAACAGCCATTTAAAAATTTTAGTATTGGATATGCAATTGCTATTCATGTATTTAACGGAGGGAGAGAAACACCTGTACAAAACACACCACCTCGATATGAACAACTTTACAAACAATGTTGGGATGACGATCCTAAAAAACGTTCAGATATATCGTCTGTTCTAAATCAACTTACAACGTTACGGCTTGAATTTTAATTTTCATAATCCATTTAAGCTTTGATTATTTAATTTTCATTATCAACTTAAACTTTAAAATATTTAAGTTTTATAACTTTAGGTGGGTTATTCCACAAATGTTTTCTAATTTTAGAAAGAGTTTGATGCTATAGAAATCAATTTACAATACAAAAAAGTTATTATTTCCTTATACATATATAATTTATTAAATCTATAAAGCAAAATTTTTACTCATTTTCATTGTGTTGATCTTCGACATGCAAAAGCTATTGTCAAAATAATATTTGATTTTTGCTAGAAGTTTTGTCTTTTGCTTATTTTATCTTTTGCTAGAGGTTTATTATTTTATATTTTATCTAACAAGTATAGTTTGGGTCTAATACAAATAATACAAATTCAGGTCTAGTAATCTTGGTATAGTGGTTTGGTTGCCAGATCACCATACAATAGGTCTGGGGTTCAAATCTTACTATTGACAAATTTGAATAATTTTTTCAGACTTTGTTATATATTACAGTAAGCTCTATTCATTTCTGGAGATATATTTCTGTAAATTAAGTTGTATCAAATCAATTTGAAGTTGGAAGTATAATATAACATTATATGAAGAAATCTTGATAAAATATATGAGCAGAAGATTTGTATAGTAGTATTACAAGTGGTGTAGCCTTCTTAATATAATATAAGTAATATAAAATACAGAAGAGAAACTTCTAACAGTGTCCAAGTAGAATATTATATTACTGTAGCAGTTTGTTATTAAAAGTTTATTTTAAGCTAAAAGTTTATAGTTTATTTATAATATAATATTATAATTACAGAACTATTTTACTATTATTTAAGAGAAGATTAGAGAAAACTAAATCTCTAAGATAATAGAAGATTGTAGAAGGCAAATCTAATTTGTAGTAAAGAGAAAAAAAAGGATTTATATAGCTTTTTAAAAAAAGTAGAAAAGATAAAAAGGTAAAAAGGCAGAAAAGATAGAAAAGGTAAAAAAGGTAGAAAAAATAAAAAAAATAGAAAAAGTAGAAAAGATAAAAAAGGTAGAAAAGGTAATAAAGGTAGAAAAAATAGAAAAGGTAGAAAAGATAGAAAAAGTAGAAAAGGTAGAAAAGATAGAAAATAATAAAGGTAGAAAAGGTAGAAAAGATAATTTATCCTATTGTTGCTTCTAAGATAACTCAATAATTATATATTCTAAAGATATAAAATATAGCTTATTTGAAAGATCTAATCAAGCTAAATCTAATAGTAAAATCCAAATCTATTTTTAGTTAATAAGTTATTAAGAAAAATTATAATAAATAAATATAAATATATATAATAATATTTTTTTATTTTTTTATTTTTTTTTTTACTTTATACAAATGCTATCAGCTAACTTTATTAATTTCATAAATTTTAGAAGTAATACATATTGTAAGAGTATAACTAGCCACATGTACAATTTTAGGTTGTCTATTTTAAGTAGTCCACCTGAAGGTTCTAGACCAGCTGCTATATCTGAAATTTCTTAGAAAATTCTCTATTTAAACTCTCTAGCTCTATCCACTTATTACAAATATTACTCTTATAGTTAACTCTAACTTCATATTACTTCATATTAGGAGGTACCCAAACTGATATTAGTTGTAAACTTTACTATTATAGGCCTAGGTCTTATCTGAATAAGTTCTACTTCAACACTCTCTAACAGATAGGTGTCATGATACCCAACTATACTATACTATATTCCTATTCTAGCTTGCATATACCTTTATTCGATGTTTGTACAAATCCAGTTCTAGCTGTGGCCCTCTACCAGTTTAGACTTCTGTATCTTTTTGAATATTTCATGAGACAGATCCTTCTAATCTAATTAGCCACTAAGCCAAGTTGGTATAACTGTAATACCTAAAGTCATAAACTTACTCACACCTACTCGATCTACATCTTTGTACTTAGTAATCTTTGTCAGATCAAGTGTTAACTGGCATGACTGTTGAAATTCATACTACTTCATCTAACTTGGGATTTCTACTATACAGGTCCTCTGTCTGTAGATCCTATCTTGATTTATTCATATAATGCAACTCTAATATTCTGTCATACTTCTAATATCCAGACAATATTATAATAATAATTATAGGTAATTATCATCTGAGATAAAAATTAGTTAATTTCATAAAGTAAATTTTTTAAAAAATAAAAATAAAAATAAAATTTAAAATTGTTTGATAATAAAAAAAAATAAAGTTTTTAAAAGTTGTTCAATAAACATCTAAGTTTTTTTTTGTTTTTTTTTTTTTTTTTTTTTATAACCTGAGCTTTATAAAGCTAGAGGCACAGTTGGTGCTTTTTATTTACAATTAATAGCTTATAATAAATATTTTAAATATTTACATAAAGTTTTTTTTTCTAATGATCATTTGTTTTGTATATTTTGTGAAGACTATGAATTTCTTTAGATACTTGATTTTTAAGAATTGTTAAGAGTGTAAAGATAGGAAGAGTATTGTTGCCCCATTTAAGTAAGGTACAACAGCACCAAAGTTCATAGATTATTGTGATATGAAGCTAGTTCAATGCTTGTTTTTGAAAAAAATTCCAAGCATTTGATCTGGAGAATATTTCTTTGAGAGTCGAAGAGTAATTAATTAAATTATTAATGTTGAGAAATCTATATACTATTTCTCAGATTTTTTCACTCAGGCTGCAGTCTATTGCAAAGTGTTCTGGAATTTGAGGTTTTTCAGTATACTAGAGGCAAAATTCAGCTTCTAGTGATTCTATGTATTTGAGGCTATAACCAAGGAGAAGAGACCTATGAAAGAGGTACTAGTATACATCTTTTTTCTTGTTTATAATTAATTTTGTAGATAGCCAGTTTGTTGTTGGCAGGTCTGGTGTTGTATGTTCTTGAGGAAGAATAGGCTCTGTTTTTCAAAGTATTTGTAAAACCTTATTTACTATAATTTTATATTCTTTAAAGTTACTTAATGTAATTTCTTCTTTGTTCTAAAACCAGTTTGTATTAGCCAGAATTTTGCTTTCTGCTCTTTTCTAGGTCAGAAGATAAGGTTTCTATTCTATAGGCCATGCTTTAGATCGAATATTATCAGTTATTAGTACTTGTAATAGTGAAATTTCTCTTTTATCTCTAAGAGTTGATCTAATTTTATCTCTTTCATATTTTGTCCAAAAGTGCTCAGATGAGAGTAGCTTAAGCCAAACTATTATTAGTTATGTATCTAGCATATCTTTAATTATAGAAGCTTGTAGATCAAGTTGCTCATATAATTGTTAAAAGACTGAGAATCAGAAGCATACGAGAATTATTCTTAATACATAAGGAGGTTAGTCTATTTATCTCAGATATTTGCTTTCTATTGAGCAGGAGAAGATAAGCTATGTACCAAATTTTAGAAAGTATAAGTGATTTGGCGAGCAGAATTTTCTCTTTAAAAGATAAATTTCTGTTTGCAAGTTCATCTAGTAAGGTTTTGAGATTGCTTATAGTAGATTTCTAGAGATCCTTTTTGGGAAGACTATTAGAGTAAATACTATAATCTAGTATTATAATAAGTTCATTCTTCTTAACTATAGAGTTCGTTTAACTGTAGTAATTCTACTCTGAATGCTGTTGATATAAGAGGAGCTAGTTTTGTTTTGGTTTTGTTGATTCTAGCATTAGAAGCCTGCTCATAAGTTTCTAGAAGTTTAAAAGTATATTTCTAGTCTGAGAAAGAGCTTATTCCTATTGTAAAATCATCTGCATAGGCTATAAGTTTAAAGAACTGATATTCTAGCTTAATGCCTTGTAAATTGTTTTTTAAGTTTAGCAGCAAAGGTTCGAAAGCAAGTATATATAAAAGAGGTGAAAGTAGGTCTCCTTGTCTTACTCCTCTTTCTATTCTAAAGGCTTTAGATAGTTCTTCTGTTTCAAAGATATGGGCTTCTTAGTTTGTAAAAAGGTTTTTAACTAAAAAAATAATATTCTGTTAAAGTTCATTTTTTCTAGAACTAGTTCTAGAAACTCATGACTTATATGATCAAATGCTTTCTGTTGATCTAAGAAAAGCATCTAATATTGCTTAGTATTGTCTTATTAACTTCTTAGAGTTGTTATAATATCTATTGCAGCATCTAATATTAATCTATTCTTAACGAAACCTTGTTGCTGTAGGGAGATTATTTTCTGGCATATTGTGTTAGTCTGTTTGCTAAGATTTTTATAAAAATTTTAGCATCATTGTTTACTAAAGAGATTAGTCTCTAGTTGTTTAGATTTTTCAGATCTGAAGATTTCTTTGGAATAAGTATGATTAGGTTTTTACACCAAAATTTAGATAGAAGATCTAAGCATAGTACTTGATTAAAGAGATTATATAGTAAAGGAGTAATCACTTTCTCTGTGAGCTTATAGAATTCATAGATAAGACTATCAGAGCCAGATGACTTATTATTCAGTAGGCTTCTAATTATATTTTTTATTTCTTCAAGAGAGATTTTTTGTATTAGTAAAGAGTTTTGTATCTCTGTAACTTGTAGAGCTTCTTTAATAATTTTGTTCACAGCAGCTAAATTAATCTCTTCTTTTCTATAGATTTTTGAATATTCTTCTCTTATATAAGAAAGAGTATTATCTTTGTTCTGAGCTAGATTCAAAGGATCTTTAATTTCACTAAGAGCTGAGTGAGATTTTCTAGATTTATATTTCGAGAAGAAATATTTGGTCAATTTTTTTCCTTGTTCTATCTATTTTGTCTTAGAGTAGAGTTGCTATTTTTCTGCTAGAAGAGTAAGTTCTTCTTGCAGTTTGGAGTTAAGGCTATCTGCTTGAGTAGAAAGGTATATATTTGTAGAGTTTTCAACAAGTTTTTTGTTTATCCAAGTAATTTGTTTGTTAAGTATCAATATTTTGCTTTCTGGAGGTTTTGGTTTTTTAAAAGCTTTAATAATTGATTGGATATATATTTTGTATAAGTTCTAATTATTCATATTATTATTTTCTTGTATTTCTTCTATTATTTCTTTTTTTAGTCTCTTATTATGAAAGTAGTTTTTATCAAACTTCTACAGAGGTGACTTGTTTGTATTTGATGTAAACTTTAGTATGCATTCTACTAGAAGGTAATCAGAGTTACCATATTTGGTATTAGTTTCATAGATCAAGTGAGCATAGTTTTTATTTATAAAGATATAGTCTAAGTGAGTTGCTATCATTTTGTTTCTTCTTGTTTTTTGAAAAAAGGTATAGAATAGTTTGTTGGTTGCAAGCTCTGAAGAGTTAATAAAGTTTTTTGTGAGGTCTTTAAGTTGAGCTTTTGTTTGATTATTCTGTAATAAAGACTTACTAATTCTATCTCGTTTGGGATATATATTAGTATTAAAGTCTTCTGTGATAATATTTATTATAATATCTTTTACTTAAGGAGACTAGTTATTAAAGAAAATTAATCGTTCATTTTAACTAGGAGGTACATAGACGTTTGTGAGCTAGAAGGTTAAATCTTTATAACTAAAATTTGTAATTATAATTCTGCTATTTGTTTCTATTTTGGAGCTCTGAAAAGTTATATTTTTGTTGTCTGCTAATATAGCTGTTTTGTTTGACAATAATGAATCGAAAGCCTATTGTTGTTGTAAAAATATTTGTGTATCTTTGTTTTTAAGATTCATCTTTTGAAGTATTATTATATCAAGATTATAAGACTTAAGAAGAGTAAAAGTATTTTTTTGTTTCTGTTGATTGTTTAGTTCTTTGACATTTAGAGTACCAATTTTTATCTTTGATTTTTTAAGCATAAGAGTTGAGTTAAAGTAAGAATTTTAGATCTGTATGTTTTGACTCTTATTACAAGTTTTTTTCTTATAAGAAGCAGTTCTGGTCTCTTCTTAATTTTACGTAGATACTTTCTTTTTGTCTTTTTTTCTTTTGTTTGTAGCGATTATATATTCTCCTTCTGAATAGTCAAGTTCTTGCAGTTAATAATTATTTTTATCAATAATAACTATAGGAGAATTTACCTCTTATACTATTTTCTTGTCAGAAGTAGTAGTATTTGTCAAGCTAATTTTCTAAGTTTTGAGTCTTTCTCTATATTTGTATCTTTAGTAGTTATAATTATAGTATCTGTTTTTTTGAATATGCTAGCTTGAGTATTGTTACTTTCATTAGTTCTAGATATATCCTGTTGCTTTTCAGTAGGAGAGTTTTCAGGATGTTTGTCTATATATATTTTTTGGTTTAAGAAAGAAAGAGTTGATGTAGTTTTTTTATCTAATATGTTTGAGATGAATTTAAGAGTTTTTTCTTTATTCTTATTCTTTTGATACTTTTTAAAATGACGATAAAGTGCTAAGGCTTCTTGATATTGTTCGCAATCTTTCTTGACATAACCTTCTTTATCACAAAAAAAGCAAACCTTTGAAGCTGACTTCCATTCTGTAGTGATTTTGTTTTCTAGCAGAATATAAAAGTAAGAAATTCTTTTTTTCAAGTCTGAGTTATTTGTAATATCAAAAATAATAATCTATTAGTCAGTTAATTAAAGAGTTCTTTTAATTAAAAGTAGTTTGATCAATGCAATTTTTCTCACATCTTTGAGGCCTTCTTAATAGCTTCAGAGACTAGGTTTTTATCTTGTAAAAGAACATTTCTGATTTTGATTAGAAGAAATGATCTTCTATTATCTGTAGGAATAAAGCCAAAATATGTTTTGTTAAAGATATCTACTTCATTAACTGCATACTCTTGTAATTTTTCTTTGTTAGCAAAGATAATTTCTAAGTAAGTACAGGCTCCTCTGTTGATATGTAGTTTTGCTGCTACTATATCATTTTCTATATTATCATAGATAGATACCATGATATCATTTAAAAAACAGTTTTTTAAACTGTTGATATCTAGTACCAAAGCATTATCATTTTTGGATCTAATAGTACTTCTTGGAAGTAAAAGTAGATTGGCCTCTTTTGACCTTAGTGAATAGGCTAGACCAGGATTTTTTTTGGTTTCTTTGCAAACTTAGGTGTTTGTAAATATTTCTAGATAAGATTCATTTGCTGTTTTGACACGTGTATTTGTTGTTTTGGTCACATCAGTATTGTTTTGTATAGTATCAGTATTTTTTCATCTATCATTTTGTTTTCATTGTTCTTGCTTTTTTCTACTTCTTGGAATATGTTGGTCTTTTCTTTTTCAAGCTCTTGGCTTACTTGTTCTTTTCAGTTAGAAGAAATAGTTAATGGTTTCTTTTGTTTAGAGTTATTAGAACTCATATCTTTCTTGTAGTACTTATAGCAGAGTGAAGATTTTCTTTGTTGCTACTACTTGCTTACGAACTTTCAGAGAGTATAATTTTTTGTTTTTTCTATTTTCTAGATACCAAAGTTTATGTTTCTTTGAAACTAGAGCTAAAGCCTAAGTTCTGTTAAAAAAATAGATTTAGTTTCTTTAGTATTAGATATTTTGTAAAAAGTTTTTACTCTCAAGCCTAACTTTATGTGGTCAGGAAAGAGTGTATATAGATCAAATATCTAAGTTAAAATAAATATTTGAAAAAAATAAATCTAGTCTAAAATAATTTAAAAATTGTATGAAAAATTTTATGTATTTTTATTGAGTTTCAAAAATTTTCACAGAAAATTTAAAGTTTCAACATTATAATAAAATAAAAATTGAAATAAAAATCAAAATTAAAGTATTCTTAATTAAGTAAAAGAAATACTTAAAATGTTATTTGGCAATCTTAATATAGTAGTTAAGTTGCCAAACTACTATGCAAGAGGTCTAAAGTTCAAATTCTACTGTTAACAAATTTGAATAATTATCTAGACTTTTATATTCAACTTATAGTAAACTCTGTTTGTTTCTAGATATTATAATTTTATAAATTATATTATTTTAATATTAATTAGACATTGAAATATAATGCAATATTTGAGTTATATTATATGAATAAATCTTTATAGAATCTATAAACAAAAGATCTGTATAGTAGTATGAATTTTAATAGTTATACTAGTTAATATTTGATTTAGTAAAAAAATCTGTATATAAAAGATGTAGATTAAGTAAATATAAGTAAGTCTGCTATGTAATACAATCTAGTATCTTGCATTAGTAGCAATACTAATTTGGCTTAATAGCTAACTAAATTAGAAGAATCTACTTCATAAAATATCTGGTTAGAATCTCAAAAAACTAATTAAGTAGAGAGCTATTATAGAAACTAGGTTTTATGAATATTTATAAGAGTATAATTTAAGTAAATTTGTATAATAAATATATTGTTACAAGTATTAGCCTTCTTAATATAATAAAAATAACATAAGATACAGAAGAAAGGCTCTCAATAGTATTCAAGTAGAATATTACTTCACTATAGCAGTTTATTACAAAGTTAATGAAAGAGCAAAAATTATACTTTATTTAAGATACAATATTGATAATACAAGACTATCTATTAGTTTCTGTACTAAGAGAATTCTAATATTAAGAAAATTGCAGAAGTCAAACCTAATCTGAGACAAAGGAAAAAAGTAGGGTTTATATAAATTTTTAGAAAAATAAAAAAAGTAAAAAAAGTAAAAAAAAGTAAGAAAAGTAAAAAAAGTAAAAAAAATAAAAAAAGTAAAAAAAGTAAAAAAAATAAAAAACTAAAAAAAATAATTTATTCTATCATTGCTTTTAAGATAACTTAATAACTATATATCTGTTTTATATATTTTATAGCTCATTTGAAAGATTTTATCAAGCTAGATCTTATAGTCTAATTTAAATCTAACTTTAACTATTAAGTTTATTGAAAAATTAATAAATATATTCAAGAAATTAACTAAATAAAATAATCTATATCTATACTGACTCCCAATTCATCATATCCAAATATACCAAAATTACTATACAACTTCCTAAACCTAATAAGATATACTCTTATAACTACTAGCCTATTTGATATATTCTATTCAACTTAATCAAATCCTTCTTTCTAAACATCATACTTCACAAAATTCCCACATACTAAGATAATATTTTTAATAATTTTGCTAATTCTCTTGCTAAAAACAATACATCTCTTGACTACTTAGACTTCAAACAGGACAATCTATACAATCTATTATACTTCCTCTAATATAATAATCTTAATATTGAACAATCAACTTGCTACTCTATTAAAAATATCTGCAATACAGGTCTGGTGATCTTAGTGTAGTGGTTAGGTTGCCAGACCGCCATGCAAGAGGTCTGGGGTTCAAATCCCACTGTCGAC